GCCATTTATTAGTAGTTTTTCAATTTTTGAAATTAAATAAAATGTAAATAGTTGTAATCCTTAGATCATGACCTTTGTAAAAAAAGGGTTTAAAAATTTAAAAAATTGCTGACCTCAAAAACAAACAAAAAATTTTGGAAATTTTTAGTGTGTTTATTTTTCTTTTTTCACATTAATTATAAACAAATAACTACATACAGGGTGATCCAATGAAAACGAACCACCCCGAATATCTCAGAAACTAAAAAGACTGCAAAAACGCCGAAACAGGTCAATTTTGTTTCAGAGGGGAACATTTTTTGACGTATTTTTTAAAACACCCCCAGTAACCCCCTAACCCCCACGCACCCCAACTTTAAAAATTCTAATGACACTACCCTACTTGTGGCACATTAAATGAAAGCTATTTTAACAAGCTTTTCAAAACTTTTTACCAAAATTAAATCATGAGATGCAGGGTGTTCTAATAAAAAAATTTCTAACTTACCTTCAACAACTCCTCCCTTTGCTTCCTCCTTTTTTCGATAATCTTCTGCTCATCTTCTTCATCATCAACCAGATCGATATTGACATCAATATCACTATCGCTGCTAACCCCATGCTTCTGTCCTTCACTCAACGAATCCTTGTATTTATCCTGTTTTTCACTCCTACTCCCTCTATGCCGTTCCTTCATCTTCCTTGCATCATTCCTGTGATAATCCCGATAATCCGACCGATAATTATCATATCTCCTATCCCGTGATCTATGTCTTTCTCTCGATCTATGGTCTCTCATATGACGCGCTCTATCCCGGTCATAAATATACGACCTTGAGCGATCGGGAGTTTTCCGGTGATACGCACGCTTATCATATCTCTCGTGTGATCTTTTGTCATCTCTGTGACGTCTCAAATCCTCTTTTCTCTCAATGACGACTCTGCGTTCTCGACTTAGCGACCTTTTGGGCTTTTTTGGGGCCACATCGCCGTCGTTGCTCGAATCGTCGAGGAGGATGATCTCGTCGACGATTTTCGGGTCTTTTCCGTTCTTTTTCGACTCCATTTCAGCCTTTGCAATCTCGGCCTGGAGCAACTCTTTCTGTTTCATCAACTCCTCCAAGTCCATGTCAGCCTCGATGACGTTAACGTCAATCGCATCGCTGTCGCACTCTGTCTCGGGGACGCCGTCCTCGCTCTCCGACGAGATCACCTCGAGAGTCAGATTTTGAGTCACAAACTCATCTGTGTCAGTTTTAACCGTTTCCTTGCTTTTTGGTGTCCCTGACAAAGATTTACCATTAATAATATGATTAACATTTTTTTTACATACTGCAGTTGGTGACTTTGGTGATAATTCGGGGGTATACCGATCATGTTTGTCGCTTTTTGTCGAAAGCCTGTCTTCTGACACGTCCCTTTGTTTGTGTTTGTGCTTTTTGCGTTTCTTGGTCTTTTTTGTCTTATCGAGTTTTTCCGTTACGTGCTTTTTGTGTTTGTGTTTGTGCTCCTTCTTGTGTTTTTTCTTTGGGGGGCTGGAGTCGGGGGGGTGGGCGACGGGGGCTACTTCACCTTTGGCTCTGAGAATTAAGGTTAGGTGAGAAATTTATTGGAGTTTTTGAGACTTACTCTGTTTCCATTGTGTTTTCTTGGGGAATTCACTCGGAAAGTGTTTTAAATGTCAAATTTATTTCAAAAAATAACCTATGAATATCGAATCGCCAGGCCAACGTTGATGGAGTCGAAGCGTTAATGTCGGTGATTATTTACAGAGGGCGTCGTTTCCACAGACATAAAAAGTAGATAAGCGACGCCATTTTGGACACAGAAATGGTCATTTTTCGAAATAAAATGACCAGAAATTGTCACAAATACTTGAAGAAATTTCTACATATAACAAAATTCATCAAACAAAATCATGATTTCATTGAAATTGGCATAATAGGTGGCTATGGAATTTCGTATTTAAGTTTGTAGCCCTGCTCATGTCCCTGATATAACAGCTGATGGGGTTTTTGTTCTTCTTTGAAATAAACTAGAATATTTGGCGTGGAAGGGGTAAGATTCGTAGTAAAAGTAGGCAATGTTTTCTCTGTTGTATTAAAAGTTGCCTACCCCAAACAATTGTTTTAAATATACACATAATTTTCCCGTATTTTATTAATAATTAATTAATTTTAACTTTTAGTTTGTGCGGAAAATTTCCAGCCCAGATTCCCAGCCAATGTGTTGCCAACTGTAGAATTTAATCGAAGCCTACTCTAATTTATTTTCTATTTGATTGCAGGGTTCTATTTTACAGAGTTTTGTGTTTTAATGTGATTGTTTTATTTGTTTAATGACGTTTTTTTTGAAAGTTTAGTTCTAAATTTAATTTCAAACTTTCATTAAAAAAACAACGCTACATTTACATTTAGAGTCAAATATGTCATAAATTTGTTTATTTTTGACCAAATTTTCGGGTTTTCTACTTTTTTTTAGATTTTATAAAAAACTTGTAAAATGGTATTTCATGCGTTTTAAAACGCAATAATAACAACTTTTTAAAAAATTCATGGATTACAACTATAGGTATTTTTTATTGATTTTGTTGACTTCGATTTGATTTCTCTGATTAGGTAAAATTTTGCGAATAAACGAGAATTTTTTAGCAAAAATAGTGTCATTTAAGGATTAATTTAGCGATTTTTTGGGCCTAGTTACGAGAATTATCACAAAAAAACTAAGTTTTTAACCCGAAAATATATTCAAACGCACAAAAAAGGCTATTTTTCGGTCTTGTTTGGCGATTTTTCGATTTATTTTTGCGAAAACTTAACAAAAATTTCGTTTTTGTCCGAAAAATATACAAAAACGCCTTAAAAAGCAAAAAACGGGAGCTTTTGGCAAAAGTGGTGTCATTTTCAAGCTAATTTAATGATTTTAGGGCCCCGTTAAGAGAATTATTGCAAAAAAATAAGTCAAAAACAGTGTTATTTTCGAGGAAAATTGGTGATTTTTTAGTCCGGTTTAAAAAATATCGTAAAAAAAACTAAATTATTAAAGTAAAAACTTATTTAAAATTTGGAAAAGGCTACAAGAACACAAGCTTAAAATTTTTAAAATAAGAATTTCTTTGAGAGAGATATTTTAAGAAAAATCTAACATGTCAATTACTTTTTCCACGACATTTATTTTTACATATTATTTGTGGTTTCGGATGAAAAAAAAACGGGTTGGGAGATTTGCATATACAGCAAATTGTATGCGATTATTAGACATTGAGGGCCATAATCGGCTTTATATTACGCAATTGACAACAAGCGATAAAAAAACTTAATTGTCAGCCTGTATATTAAAAAAGAAACAGCCTGTATATTTTTTTACCAAAAATTTTTTAAATTTTTTCTCAAGTGTTTTGTGCTTTTCTCAATTAGGTTAGCAACTYAAATGTCACGTGAATTTCCAGTCACAGGTTACTTTGATGTTGACTTTTTATGATTAATTTCCAACAAATTCCCCTCTATCTCTGCATCGGAAAGTAATATCAGTAAATGATGAAGATTTTGAATTAATTTATGTCAGACAAATTTTTTTTCAAGGTTGACTGTTCATCATTTGAATCTCGTGGATTTTCTAAATCTTGTCAATTATTATTATAATTTCAGAATAACTTTTAAAGTTTTAAAAATAGCAAAATTTGTGAAATTTTGGCTCGACCAAAAACTACTAGCAAGTGTTAATTTTYATTCTAAATGAAACTATAAGGGTCCCAAAGGTCGCTTGTATAAAGTGGGACTAAAAAAAAATAGTGAGTTAACCCAATGTTACCAAATTTGAAATTATAAAATCACCAGAAATCCAATTCACCAACTTGTTTTCAAGTAATTAATTAAAGGATTATCACATGTGTTATAAAAATAAACGCAAGATGCCCTTACAGAACTGATATTCTATTTTTTCTAAAACCTTGACAAGCAAAGTAAAAATATTTATATTAAATTCAAATAACTTAAGTAAATCATCGATAATAATTTAACAATTTGTAACAATATTGGCACTGTAAATAATAGTAATAACACATAAAGTTATGTCTGTGCTGAACCGTACGTCCCAGCTGGAGGTCTATACAATTTTGGCAATGCTAACAACTGCAAAGAATTGAATGCATATTTTTTCACATTTGTGTTTTTCAATGTGTTTTCTCTTCTGCATCCCTCACTGTAGAAAAAATCATGTATTTTACTCCACATTACCACAATCTTATTACCTTCGCATACAATCCAACGCTTTATGGAACTCGTGTTCGGCCAAATGGTACTCATCGGCCAAAATTCGACACTCTTCCAGAGTCACAGACATACCCGTTCGGTCTTTGGCACTCTTACAACTCGTAAAACGCAGTCCTAAAACACAAAAATCAATTCCGTAGTTTTTTCTTATGAATGAACGTAAACATCGTATTAAAACTTCAATTACCTTTCATTTGTCGACAAATTTGCGAAGCAACATGTAGAATGTCCACATTTTTCGACCTCCCACTGTGCACCAACAACTTCAAATCGTCCATCAACTCTGTCAAACTTTTCATTTGTGGGGAACACGAAAGTCGCCCATTTGTCATATCACTTTCAGGAATATTCAATTTCCGATACCTAATATAATACTCATTAATCCGATCAAAATTATCAATATTTGACGCCTCTTGTGGTCTAGTCGCCCCTAAACTTTCAGCCAATGTTGCCATTTCGTTAATTCCGATATTGAAAAACACTGGAGTGACATGAAATGATAAAATTTGTCGACTGGGAATCAAGGTATATAAAGCGTCAGGAACCGGAAGTGATACTGTGAGTGAGTTTCTACTTCCGGTTACTTTAGGTGTGGGTTGGGGCTCCACTGAAGGACTGGGACATCGCACTAATGTGAACATAACAGTTCGAAGATCTTCGATTGCTATCGACATGTCGCCCCACATGTCCACTTCATTACCGTGGTAACTTAGCAAACTCTCGAAGCAAGCCAAGGGGCCCAAAGTGCTTAGAATTGTTACGAATGCAGGGTCGGGCTTGTGGCACCACAGGCGGGTCATTAACCCCGTCACGAGGGCTGTCAACTGAAAAAAAAATACTACATTTTAAACACTGTTTTCTAATTTAATTTTTATTTTTTCTAATTTTTTTTTTTAGAATTATTAGCCACCAAAAGGGCTAAAATAAAATAAATTTTATAAAATTAAACAAAAAA